TGACACCTTGTGGAGCTCAAAATGTAAAGTAACAATGCTATAGAATACTCTCCTTGGAAAAGAATGGATATCAAGGTCTTAAAGGTGACAGAATAAGCTCTCGAGTCAACGACACTACGATTCTCTAAGAAGATGCGAATTATGGACGTAAAGTGAAAACCGAACTTTCGGACTTCAAGCAGGGCCCAGCGACAATTTGTCGATTCGATGGCCCGGTAAATATTATGTTCGGGTAGCAATGTGTTAAAAAAGTATCGTTTAATAGATGATTTTTAAAAAATTTACCGCGCATTGTGTTTACTTTCTTGGTTTCTCCAAAATTTTGACTTTTCACAGACACTTGTTACACGTAAGTGTCAATGGGTTTAATCTATACTGAATGAATTTTTTACAAAAAATTTTTAAAATGTGTAAAGAAATTTTATTGCAAAATGTTCACTTTTTGGGAGCTCCGCTTTTAGGCTTGGCTAAATCTGTATATTATATGATACACAGTGGGACTTCTTATCTGAAGTGCCCTCTGATAAATCCGCCTATTTTAGTCGTAGCGGAGTGTTTAACTGATATGTTTCATTCTCAGAAGAAAATCAGAGCACTATATTACATGCTAGTACATGTTTATATTGGTAATAAATGTTAATAACTGTAATGTCATATGCTTTATTTGTAATTATTGGTTGTGTACCCAATAAACACCTTGTTTAGCTTTTTCTCTGGGAGCTAGATCCTTTTTGACGCATCGATAAGGATAATTTCTTTTATCATTATTACAAGAGTTAGGAAGAATAGGGAATATAAATCCCTGATAGAGTATGTGCCTTATTCTAATCATTTAACATAAGAGTTTTATTGTGCTCCTGTGCAGGTGTCCGCAGGGCTGTTACTGCGTAGCTTTATATTACATTACACTCTGGGCTAATAGTAGGGCTACTAACCAGGTGAATCTGGCTATTGCTAACACTTTTTTGAAGTTACACATGCATGAATAATCGTAAAAGATGCATGACTAGATCTGGCGACTAGTCGTAAGTCTTGAGAATCCACCCCTGTCACTTTCATTGTCCTATTTCATATAGAACTCCATACAGCTCAAAGCCAGAGAGATAGAATACGTGTGTTCCCACAGAATTTACACCTGTTTGAATTATTTTGAAATAACGCATGGGTCCCCATAAACCTTGTAGAGGCCATGTTTTTGTGTCTTGTGTCCAATGGTAGTTTTTGTGGCTTCTTATTGTCTTCCATTCTCCATCAGCGAGTCCTTTCAGCTTCCAGCTGGTGGGTGCACCTTTTTCCCGATTTCCAATCTTCAACGTGTAGTTTGTGGGTAACAATAAACATTGACCCAAATCAATTTGCCACCAAGATTTTTTCCTGTTATTTGTACTTAGACCTTGCTTACTTTTGGTCGCTTTAAAGCTGTTTAGTAAATCCTTAGGCTTTCCTGAGCCACGGCCAGACCAGGTAACCTTTATTCCAATGTTGCAATCAGCTGGATTCATCCAGTCACGATGACAAAATTTTCTTCCCAGAGAAGCAAAAACACCTCTCTGGTCAAAATCGAATTGATAGCTAAGGACATCTGAAATAAAGCCAGAGTATTTCAAACCTAATATTTCTTTGTGTTGGTACATTAAAACCATGATAGTTTACATAGTATCAGAGAGCTTAAGCATGATGTTTGCGGGAAACGGCAAAGACTATCACGAAATCGATTTTCCCGCGTTTGTTTAGAACGGTTGCCGTTTGCTCTCTACCAGAGACAACAAACGAATTATTTTGCCACACAATCCTCTGTCATGGATACAGAGAATATCAGGGGCGATCAAGAGGGAGCTTTCTTTGCGCAACATGCTTATATACATGCCAATATAGCTATCGCACATTTATTTTCTCTTGCGCACATACTTCCTTTTGCGAAAGTCATCCACCTCCTCGAGTCTGGGTTGAACTCGGATTCTATGTTCAAATCGGGTTCAATGTTATTAAAAATGTCGTCCTCGTCGAGCCCTTCCACTTCATTTCCCTCGTAGACCTCGTCGACTTGGTCGACCTCGCCGTCATTACCCTCTTCCTCCCTTACGGATATGGGTATCTGGGGTATAGGTAGTGGAAGGAGAAGAGGAGGGGCGTCTGCTATCTCTTCACCTTAAAATTAAAAAAAGGGGCTTATGAGCAGTTCAGTTTAGTTATCAGTATTACTGTCATTAAATATGCTGTTCGCTATATTAGAACCAAATTCCTCATGAGTCATACATATCTCTGTTCCCGCCAAAATTGTGACGTTCTTTGTTATTAAAGTCATATTCTTTTTTTTTCTTTTCATCACATTTTCATCAAGTTTGCTTGTTTTCATTAAGTTCGTTCGTTTCCTTTTGTCATGTTTTCGTTAAGTCTGTTTGTTTTCATGCTCAATGTTTTTTATGGTATTCCGTTACCTTTTTTTTGAATAATTTCTCTATGTTTGTATATCTGCCTAATAATTTGGATATATCAACAAAGTTGAAATGGTAAATTGGCCACCGTAATGATTACAAATGCTGACGTTTCGAGCGTTAGCCCTTTGTCGGAGCGAATAGAGGAATTGTGGGTTGTGTGTGCTTTTAAAGGCAGAAAATGGAGCTACGTTATTGGTGAGAGCATGGCAACGAGAAAAACATATATAAATTAGTGGAATGAAAAGCGTTCGTTGATCCCTGTGGGATTTAGACTGCCGGTTTGAAAGATGAGCTTTTGTTCAAGATTTTTACGGCTTTCCGTGCCACCTAAGTGCAAGGAAAGACCGCAGATTGCCATATGTTGCTTAGAATGATTAGGTAAATTAAAATGTCTAGCGACTGGTTTAGATGTGTCCTTGTCATTCCTTTCCACGTCTCGAAGGTGTTCTCGGAATCGGTCACCTAGTCTTCTGCC